ACTCATGAATTCTGCTGAACACGATCCCTTCTTGCAGGTCTACCTGGGAACAAATAGTATGAAATACATAGTTTTGAATATATTGAAGGTGAAGATGAAAGTCTAAGCAGAAAAGTGAAGGTCTGTGGAAGCTGGGTTACCTCTTTTGCAGACTGAGTGTGTATTTGCAAGATTTTCTAAAACCTGATAAGGTGGACCGGAAGGACAGTGAAATCCTAGAAAAGAATCTGACACCACATCCTGCAAACATCATCAGTGAGGCTGGAATGAGAGGGTCATTAATATGTCCCTCTCTGAAAGAAAGAAAGAAAGATCTAATATGTAAATGTTTAAGATGTACCACTCATGAGTTCTGATGTCTCTCTAATAGTGTGTGGAAAACAGAGGAAATAGGATCAAGCTACAATTATTATTATTATTTTTTATTGGGGACGTGGTGGCGCTGTGGGCTAAACCGCAGAAGCCTGTGCTGCAGGGTCAGAAGACCAGCAGTCGTAAGATTGAATCCACGCGACGGAGTGAACTCCTGTTGCTTCATCCCAGCTCCCACCAACCTCGCAGTTCGAAAGCATGCAAATGCAAGTAGATCAATAGGTACCACCTCAGAGGGAAGGTAACAGCGTTCCGTGTCTAAGTCGCACTGGCCATGTGACCACGGAAGATTGTCTTTGGACAAAACGCTGGCTCTATGGCTTGGAAACGGGGATGAGCACCGCCCCCTAGGGTCGAACATGACTGGACAAAAATTGTCAAGGGGAACCTTTACCTTTACCTTTACAATTTTTTAATACTAAACAAATCTAATGTAAGCTGTGGGGTATTGGAATTGAAATAACAGTGATGTCATTGTGAGTGTGGTACAGATCTCCTAGCCAGACAGAAGATTTGGATGATCCTTTCCTAGATAAAATTAGCAAATGGTCAACATTGGAAACATGGTAATTGAATTTTTCTGATTCTGCTATCTGCTGAAAACCAGAATCTGTAAAGAATGAATTTGTAATACTTCATAGAATCATAGAATAATGAAGTTGGAAGGGGGCCTATTAGACCATCAAATCCAACTCCCTGCTTAGTGCAGGAATACAAATCAAAGGATATCTGCCAGTTGGGTGTCTAAATTTCTCTTGAATGCCTCCAGAATTGGAGCACTCACCACCTCTTGAGGTAACAGTTAGGAAATTTTTCCTGATAAACCGAAATCTGGCTTCCTATAACTTGACCCCATTGTTGCTTCTCTGTCCTGCACTCTGGGGTGATCAAGAAGAGATCCTGCTCCTCCTCTGTATGTCAGCCTTTCAAGTACAGTGGTGCCTCGCTTAGCGATCACTCCATTGAGCAATGAAATAGCTTAGTGATGGGGTTTTGGTCATCGCCAGAGCGATCGCTTACCGATGACCCCTATGGGGAAAAATCGCTTTGCGATGATCACGGGGAAGCGATCATGGCAAAGCGACCCTTTTTGCACAGCTGATCGGCGGTTCCAAAATAGCGGCCAGAAAAATAAAATGGCCGCCCGCTGTTTTGCCTCGCTTTAGAGGCACAAAAAATGGCTGCCGCTATGGAGGATCTTCACATAAGGTCAGTTTTTAAGCCCATAGGAACGCATTAAATGAGTTTGATTTTTTTTTTTTAAAAAAATCACATTGATTTTTATCCACCATGCAAGGTGGAGGATAAAACAATGGGATCAGATAACATACATCTCAAATTTCCTAGTATAGAAGAACTAGTTGCGAAAGTCAAAAGTAGTAGGAACCTTGTGTAGAAGTGACCATGTTATCTTGGGGTACATCATCCTGAGGAATGGGAAAATCATGTGGTAGGGACGTTCACCTTGGATAGCAAAGGCTGTCAATTTTTTTAAAAAAAATGAGTGTAATTCCATATATAACAGTTCTCAAGGAGAAAGGAATTCAAAGTGGATGGGAGTTTTTAGAAAGGAAAGTGCTAAAGGGTCATTTTTTGTTAAAAGCATTCTAAGAAGATACTAGTGTTGTTCAAGAAGTATTATATTGCTAGCACATGGGAACTCAGAAATAGCTCTCCCCATATTCCGGTATAGGGAGAAAGCATCTGGCCATCTTTGTTAATCTTATTTGCTGGCCTATCGCTGAGCAGGCTTTCTCCAGTGCTCTATAAACTACAAAGGAATACAATACACATATTGGATGAAAGGCCACAGCTTTATTGGTTACAGAAGTCCCTGGCCAGCATTGGGGGATTGGATCTGTTGCATCAGGAGGCCCACTTGTCACCCAGTGCCCACCACCGTTCACTTCAGCAGCCGCTGAAGGTTCCACGAGAATTAGCCATCTTCTGGAAACCCTGTGGGCATATGCTACTCAGTGATTCTCACACATCTGGGGCAGGAGTTGAGTCTGCGGGCCCCCAAGCTGGACCAGACCCTGTCCCTGACTCAATCTCCCCATACAGGGAGGTTTCTTAACCTTTCTGGGTGAGTAGACTCCTGTCTTTACTATTAAGCCGTCCGTATCCAACCCCAATGCCCCAGCCTGCCAACAAAGTTGAGACAAGATTGAGTAAACCCACATATTGCTGTAAAAACATGCTAACCATCCCCCATGCAACCTATGCAATAACAAACAACACTTCTTGCCACTACTGTAAAAGAGCGAGGGAAGGAGAGAAGAAGAAGAAAGGAGATGGGTGCTGGTGAGCAGCAGACTGGATGGTGGGTGGCTGTCCACCACTTTCAAGCTGAGCAGGCAGACTAGGGAGAAAAATCCTCCTTCTGGTCCCCCTGTGCTGTTTGGATCTCCCCCTGCCAGCCAATACTAGGCCAGCAGGGAAACCCCACTTCCCACTAGCCAATCAAGGCTGCTAAGGCAGTCTCTAGTAGCTACCCCTCCCCCATCCACTAGACTGCATGGCTGGTGCCATGCCTGTTCTAGTGCCCTGGCCTTGGTCAGCCCTTCTTGGCAGCAACTGGAGTGCCCAGCTAAGTCTGGGCTCCTATTTTACAATGTACAGTGGTGCCTCGCATAACGAGTGCACCATTTAATGACAAATCCGCATAGCGATCTATTTCTTGCGATTGCTAATGTGATCGCATTGTGATGTTTTGAATGGGAAAACATCACATTGCGATGATCAGTAAGCGTTTCGCTTACCGATCTTCGCATTGCAATGTTTTTAGAACAGCTGATCGGCGGTTCCAAAATGGCCGCCGGGTGCCCAAAATGGCCGCACAAGCATTGTCGCGCGGTTTCCTCGCTTACCGAAGCGGCGAAAATGGCGGCGCTATGGAAGATCTTCGCTGAACGTTGAGTTTTCGCCCAATAGGAACGCATTAAACAAAGTTGAATGTGTTCCTATGGAGTTTTTAGTTCCGTTTAGCAACGATTCTGGATAGTGACGATTAATCCGGAAGGGATTAACGTCGCTATGTGGGGCACCACTGTATTTGATAGTCCACAGTGCATGTATTGGAAAGGTTCAATTTGTGCTGACAGGAATCATGTTCTTAAAGAGGACTCCTAGGAGCAAGTTATAATGAAATAATTCAGACTTTGAGAAAATCTGTATTCATTGTATATGAATGTCATTTAGTTTATTTGTAGGAAGTGTTATGTGTTTCTTTTCTTTTATGCAATTCATTTGTCTCATTAGAAATGATGAGGACAGCTGCCTGCAACCTTCTGAGATAAATGATCTTTAATTAGCTTTTGATAAGGTATTTTAGTTTGACTCTTCTCTTGAAAGAGGGCTGTCATTTCCAGATGACACTGGGACCAACATTGATTCCACAGACGGTAGCTCATATTCATTTCTCTTCCATACAGCATATTCCTTAAGTTGTTCAAAACACTGCTTTGAACATAGTTGTGCTTCAAAATGCTTGTGCTTCACATTCCAGCAGAGCCACTGAGGATGCAAAACACTGAGGATGTGGGGCCATAATCTAACAGAACAGTGGTGAGAGTAGTTTGATTCTGGAGTATTTGTTGGAAGGAACAAGCAAGTAGCTTATTTACCCCTGATTACTGAGTTGTGGTTAGGAAAGACAAGTGCTTGATATGGGCAAAGTGCTACTTCCTGGATCTGGAGGTTGAGTCATGGCAACTGGACTTCTTTCTTATTAGGTTGAAAAGTTTTGCTACTCATCCAAATAGCTTCTTTAGTCTGAAGAGAGTTGGTAGAATACCTTTGATATATCCTCCAGTTGGTCTCACTTCCCCGTGGTCTGAATAGGCTCATTAGATGTTCATTGGACGGGGGGTGGATGGGGGGTGAGTGAAAATCCTACTTCTGCAGTCCTTCTCCACCCATTATCATGGGCCATTAACAGTGGCCTTTCTGGTTTGTGTGATCTTTCTGGGAACAGATGAAAAGGCAGCATGATAAATAGGAGACAGATTGTATCTAAGGCCTCCATCCCTGTCCAGTGAGGGATTTTCTATATGCACATGTACGGCCTCTGACCCCTCTCTCAAACCACCTATCTTCTCATTCAAAATGAGTAGAAAATGAGATGTGGAAATTTATTTGGAAATAAATCTCATTGTATCTAGTGGAGCTTACTTGTAATGTTGACTGTAATGTGGTTAATAATTCTGGGAAGTATATATTTTTGTATGTAATGATTTTTTTAAAAAAATTCCGTTGTAATGTCCTTGGATAGATTAAATCCTTTAGTGTGATATTTTAACATGCCATTTAAAATCTGGTAGGGAAACTTTCCTTTGTACATTAATGTTGTGTGTTGTAGTCACAAACTGCATTCATTTAACCATCCTTATTATGCATTTCAAGTAACATTACAATTCCTAAAAATGTTTCTTAGAATAAGGTATTGTTTTAATCTTCAAAAATTTTGCAGAAACTCTAGTCCCACTTAGCAAGAACTGAATAGAAATGCATATACAGTAGATTCTGTTCTCCACCCTGGAAATACAGTTTGACTATTTGCATGACCAAATACATACATGCAAGAGATTGCAAATACTATTGTTTCAGGGAATGTAAATTATTTTCAGGAATTCAGAAATTGAAAAGGGATAAGTGGAAGGAGAAAATGTTGGGCTGGTGCCAAGCAATAGCTCGTAATCCTCACAGATTCCCAAACAACACAAGAACCCCTGAGGTCACAGTTGATGCTCCACAAATCTCTGCCTTGGTGAGTGGATGTTCTATTTCATGATGATGGCATGCACAAAAAAGAAATGAAAAACTCTTTGAAAGCTATTAAAATCGAGTTGAGAAACAAACCTGTGCCTTATACTTTTTTTTCTGAAACCAGTTTGGCTTTATATGCTGCTTTGTTATGTGCTGCAGCTATTCTGTGTTTTAAGTTTTCTAATTTGCTTGCCTTTTGTTGCACCCGTCAACCCCTCCGGTCTTGCATGCAATGGCTATTGAAATAATTTTCCTGTCCTATGGGGGAGGGGAGAATGTAGAAGTGTATTCTGGTTATTTTACTAGACCTTTATGCATGGCATGAATAGTGAGGCCCTATTCAAAAGTAGTATTTTGCTTGATTTATAAATCTGTTTATGAAATAATCTCATACACCCCTTTCTGGAAATGCATTCTTTTCACTTCTCCCATATGGTGGATGGTTTGAGGACTTAATTGTGTGTGTGGTAAGTTACATCTCGTTTTAGTGTCCTTTTCTGAAAGCAAAATGTATTATTAGAAGAAGGACGATTTTTCAAAGTAACATTTTTTTTTCTTAAAGAAATGTGCTGATATAATCATGAAGCAGAATTAAGACAGATTATATTTTACTATCCTGGATGATTGTTCTGAAATAAGAATAATACGGTTTATTTTGTCTCTATTATTTGCACTTTGTGCTTACATATCCAGGTTGTTAATAGTTGTTCATAATTTGTATATTATGGGGCTGGTTCTTGAATTTCTATTTAAATGTTATTTTGATGTGAGCTGCTATCAGAAAGTTCTTTACTAGATTCAAATCATTCTTACTGATAAGTACCATTATCATAGAGTTCCTGCAACTGTTGTGTGAGCAAATAATCCTTCTTTTTGATGAAACTGATTGAGATTATTCTTATAGAACCATAAAAGTGTTGAGTTGGAAGGGATCGCTGGTCATTGAGTTCAGCATGTTGCCAAAGTAGTAAATCCACAGCTGAAGCATTTCTAACAGGGACCGTCTAACTTCTCTTTAAAAACCTCCAAGGAAGGAAGTCCACCACCTTCTGACGCAGTCCATTCCACTATGAAACAGCTCTTGTTATCAAAACGTTCTTCCTAGCGTGTAGGTGAAATCTCCTTTCTTTTACTTTGAATCCTTTATTTAGATCCTATTCTCTGGAGCTACAGAAGACAAGATTGCTCCTTATGTCCATGTAGTAGTCCTTCAAATACAGTACTTTAGGATGGCTATTATATCACCTCTCAGTCTTCTCCAGACTAAGTATGCCCAGCTCCCTCATCCACTCCTCATAGTACTTGGTTTACAGAATGTCTACTATTTTGGTTGCCCTTCCCTAGAATCCTAGCTGTAATCATAAATTTCATTAATTTCTGCTGTCAGGTTCTTACATGTTTTGAAAAAAAAAGTACAGTAAAGCCAAAGAATTTGTCAGTCACAATCTTATGCTTCGGGTTCATGGCTACTTTTTGGTGCAGTCATGTACATGTCACCTCAGAGTTCAGTAGCTTTGCTCCTAGAGTTCCCAGTACTGTATATGAGTGCAGAATTGCAGCCAAAATTTCTCAGGATGTTTTGTTAACTGCCTATTTGTCCTAATTGTGTATACAAAGGAGTGTACTAATATGCCACATACTTAATCCACGTGCAGCAGTTTTATTTGTTGGATTTTTTGTTCCCCTACTTGCAACATGAAAAGTTTAGTGTGAAGGAAAAGTGGTAGTGGAAGAATCAGTGTTGCTCCAGTTACTCACATTTAAGAAAAAGGAGGGAAAAACGCTCACAACTTATTGGACCTAAAATTGGGGGAGGTCTTTAGAGAAGCCATGAGGATGCTACACTGCCTCTTGACACAGGGTCTCTGTGTCATATACAGAGCTGTGTAGAAGAAGGGCTTGCCCATTCACACTTGTTTTAATGTCTGTATAGATATGCAGTGTGACAATTAATCATAATTCCTTCGGTAATTTTAATGTCACATATACGGTATGTATTTTGGTTATTTGTGAGGAAAGCCATTTATTCTAAGTGAAATTGTTAGCTAACTCTTTTATTAGAATAATAGAGAATCACTGCTTCAGTCTAAACAAATGGTACATCAGTTTTTATACTGTGTTTTGATTTACTTTCCAGAATATATAACATTTTCATTGTTTTACATGAGGCAAGTGAAACATTTCTAAAGAGCTGCCAAGAAGCATTGGAAGAGGGAATGAGAAAAGAAAGGAACACTCCTTCAGTATTTAAAAAATGGAGCTGACATTAGAACAGAGGAGATGTGAATAATTGTTTAAAATCAGTTTCTTCTGGGAGGTGATTTTTTAGCAGTATGGGCTGAATGCTGAAGATAGCAGTGACAAACCCTTTAAATCAGTGGTCCCTAACCTTGGGCCCCCAGATGTTCTTGGACTACAACTCCCAGAAGCCTTCACCACTACCTCTGCTGGCCAGGATTTCTGAGAGTTGAAGTCCAAGAACATCTGGAGGCCCAAGGTTGGGGACTACTACTTTAAATGTATTTTTAACATTTATCAAGGTATTTTCTGCATCTCAGCAAATTGCTGATCAGCAAATAGTTTTTTTTCCGTAAGGCATTGTTAGCTAACTCTTAGGATAGAAAAGCATAGCTAGCCAGATCCAATGCCTGCAGAAGAGGTCTGATAGTGGTTCCTTAAACTCTCCTTTCCCTTTGTCTGGATTCTACAGGGTGAAAAGAATGATTAGCACATGAGATCTCACGTTTGTATATGTATTTCAGGCCTCTGAACATTCCTGGAGGTGTAAGAGAACCTGTGCTTGTATTAGAAAAGAGAAGGGAAATGTATGTGAAAAGAGAAAGAAGTAAGATGTCTAAATTCACTTAGTCATGTGGTCTCCCTAGCTCCCCTCTCCAAAACATACTGTTTTCCAGGAATGTGCATTTTAAATTTTTTGAAAGACAAATGTCATTATTCTGGGAGTCCTGCAGACCTAGACCTTACAGACACCCAAATTGTACTCACCTGAAGAGAAAGTCCAGCTGGCAGCCTTAATGCCTTTGCATAGATCAGACTTCTTTTTTGAAAAAGAATATTCCCAGCAACCATTGGGCAGCTTCCTTTTTCAAACAGGAAGTTAGATCTGTCCAGGGCATGAAGCCTGCCAGTAGGGTTTTCTCTCCCGGTGAACACAGTTCTATGTATCTGTAAGGTCTGGGTTGCACAGATGGGACGTCCAGAAAGGAGAATTATGGGATATGTAATCCAAAAAATCCAAAATGCACATCACTATTATTATCTAGTCTTTTCTTATCTTAAAAGAAACACTACATATGTACGTACATTACCTGTATTTGGGGAAGTGGACTTTGATCTACAGAAGCTCACACTGAAATAAAATTATTAGTCTTTAAATTACTGTAATATTTTCTTTTTTCCCCTTTTCTTTTACCAGCTCTGCATGTTCTTATTCTTCTCAAGCTGCCCAAACGAGCTTATTGGGAATGAAAACATGAGACATTGAAGGTAGAAAGGAGAGATGGGCAAAACTGAGAAGTGTTCTCTTATTTAATCCTCTTTGTTGAATCCTCCCCTCTCAATCTCCAAATCATTTGGAGCAGTACACAAGAAGAAAGACACGTGCTTCATGAAGGCATCGGAGTGTTAGTAATATGGCTAACCTTGAAAATACTAATTAAACACAATTGTGTATCATTAATGGTTTACTTTTTCACAGAATCCATATGTTGACATCCCAACTCTTTTGCTGATTTCCTGAGAAGAACAGAGTTATTTTAGAAGTCAAAGTCAAGCAGCAATACTAATGTTTCAGGGTCATGGCTAGTGTAAAGATGGAGTGATCTTTTTATGTGTAATACTTAATGATCTAGTGTCTGCATCCTACTGCATTTCACACTTAAATCAAAGTCTGACAGTTTGCTAAATCGTCAAACAATCTTGTTATTGCACTCAAAGCCGACACTTTGATTCCCCCTTTTGTAGGTTTGTGATTTTTAAAAAATTACTGCAGTACCCAACCTGTTCATTCTAGGAGTGATATACAGTGGTGCCTCGCAAGATGATGTTAATTCGTTCCATGAAAATCACTCTCTTGCGAAAACATCGTCTTGCGAAACGCGGTTCCCCATTGGAATGCATTGAAATCTAATGTTTTCCAATGGGGAAAAAATTGTCGTCTTGCGAAAATCATCCATAGAAAACGTCGTCTTGCAAAACGCGGTTCCCCATTGGAATGCATTGAGATATATTTAATGCGTTTCAATGGGGGAAAAACCCGTCTTGCGAAGCAGCAGTTAAAAAAAAGTATTGCGAAACGCAGTTCCCCATTGGAATGCATTGAAATCTATTTCATGCGTTCCAATGGGGGAAAAAGCCGTCTTGCGAAGCATCGGTCTAAAAAAAAAAAAGTCTTGCGAAGCATAGACCCAAACATCGTCTTGTGAAAATCATCCATATGAAAAACTGTCTTGCGAAGCGCAACAGCGATCGCAAAAACCCATCATCTTGCGGATTAATCGTCCCATGAGGCAATCGTCTATGTAGTCTATAAAAGTAATTGTTCTTATCTCTGCATATATCTCTGATGTAAATCAGCTTTCAGACTGCAGAAGTCTTTTGACTTGTCACACAGGAACAATAAGGGTTTTTAGGGCAGAGTAGTCACTCCCTAGCTCCAAATCATGGGTCTGAGAGAGGTGTTAGATGTTTAGTTCAGTTCCTTGAGCTGTACCATTCCCCCATGTTATCCCATACTGTTGAAACAGACATTGAAAGACAAGGCGCTTCAGACCAAGTAGCTCCTTAAGGTTAAAAAATTTGCTGCTTCAGTGAACCATTGTAGTGCTTAACTAATTATTTTCTTGTTTAAATTAATGTGGATAACGTTACATTAAATGCACTGTAGAACAAGATTGTAACAAGAGTTACTGTATAAAAGTACTCTGTTGTAGTAAAAGATCAGCAGAATTCTATGCCAAGAAAGTCTCCTGAAATCTGGTT